AGGACCCTTTGCAGCCCAGAAAGCTCCAGAATTGGGTCCGCTCCTAGACCCTTCTGGAAGCTCTGGCTGAAGGCCTACGTGTGCACACGCGCCCTCCTCCTTCCCATTCACACGCTTGCACACACACCCAGCCATGGCTTCATCTTTAAATACATACTTAAACCACAGTTCAGGGGCCCGCAAGGCCTGTGCATGCTGGGCTCCCCAGGTCCACTCACCTCCAAGCCCTCAGGCTTAGCGAAACAACCCCCACCCTCCCCACTCCTGCTACAGCTTCTGGGCATGGGGCGGGGGGACCTCCTGACCCCACCAGGAGCATCCTCATATGCTGGAGTATCCTCACGTTCTGGAGCATCCTCACACACCTGGAGCATCCTCACGTTCTGGAGCATCCTCACACACCTGGAGCATCCTCACGCTCTGGAGCATCCTCATGCTCTGGAGCATCCTCACACTGTGGAGCATCCTCACCTCACTGGGAAGGGCTCCCCTACAAGGGCTTTGTGGGGGCATAGGGGATGCTTCCCTTTATTCTTCTGCTGATATTCATACAACACAGAACACACACAGAGGGCACACCTGGTGTCCAGTGAGGGTCATGTGCTCTGTGCTTTTGCCCATTGCAGTGAAGGACAGTCCCCCCACCGCCCAACCCCATGCGCAGTGGCCCCTCAGCCTGGCTGGGCCTCTGGGTTGCGGCTGGCCCGTTCGAGGACGGCCCCCATCCCCATACTGGGCGCCCACCCAGGGCACCACAGGACGGCAGTGCCCGCTGCCCATCACTGTGTCCTGCTCCACGGCCTCTCCAAGCAGCGGGTGGCAGACACCCCCTGGTACTGCAAATGCTGGTGGCACCTGTCCCGGGACCCTCGGGAGTTCAGTCCTGGGGCAGCTGCCGTGGTGAACCTGAGGATGCAGACTTTGCCCACCCCAACCCCCACCCACTTCCTCCTTCTTCCCAGGGAGCCGGGAGCCTCCCTAGGTTGGCGTCTGGGCAGGATCCGATGACCCAGCTGTTTCCAAATGGCACAGGAGTGTTTATCCTGAAACACCGGTCACTCCCAACCACCTGGGTGTCTGACGGCTCAACCTCACTAGGAAGAGAATGTACAGGGCCCCTGACCTCTTGGGATGGGGTCCTGTCTTTCAACAACCCCGCCAAGGGAGGGGCTGTCATCAAGCTTGCACTCCGCAACCTGACCCCTGGCCTCCAGCCTCAGAGCTGCCTGGTCTGGCCCATCGTTTTGGAAACAAATGTTTGGTGCCCACAGAGGAGTCAGTCACCCTTGGCATCAACTTCCAGGCACATTTAGTGTTTCATTTTGAAACGTTCATGGGCTGTAGCTTATTTTGGGTCGTTCCTGGTCATTTCCTCGGCTCTCTAACGGCCACTTCAGGCAGCCGAAACCTGCCCACACGCCCTCGCACACCGGGACTCATGCGCTAGCCTCTGCGGGCGGCTGTCAAAGTTTCTCAGTCCCGCTGCTGCTTCAGCTTGGCCAGCAGCCAGTGTGACCACCGGCCAGCCCCCGGCCTTGAAAGTTCTGTTTGCCGCCTCTGAGGTGAGAGCTGGAAATAACCAGTAGCTGTGATGCAGCAAGAGGCTCCATTATTGCTAACAAGACGCAGGGTGCAAGCCAGCTGATTGTTTCCCAGGGGGTCTGGGGGACCCCCTGAGCCTGAGGCAGGAACCTCGCATCCCCAAGATGACAGATGCACCTTTGCCGTCTTCCTGTCCCGAGTATCATGGTTCCACAGAAAGCCTCCCTTACCACCCAGCCAGGCCGCGGGACACGGGGGTCTCCCTGCTCCCCACAGCCCTCTGCAGAGGGCAGACCACAGCGGCGCCCCAAGGAGCTGTCTGCCCAGAGCCCCTGTGCCTCTCCCTCCCGTACCAGTGCTGGGGCACTGCCCATGCCAGGCACTCGAGGCTGAGGCCAGGAGGAGCTCAGGGCTGGAGCTGCCCAGTCTTTGCAGCCCGGAGGCCCCGGTGCTGCTGGGCAGGTTAAGCCAGGCGTCCTCAGGGCAGGGCGTAGTTGGGGGGGGTCTGACCCACACGATCAGCTGACCCTGAGTGCAGCCCCCTCGAGACACAGCACCTGCAGCCTCTCTGGCCCCAAGCGCCCAGTCTGGTCTTGGATCCCCGCTGGGGAAGCTGCATCTGTGGACAGGCCCGTGTAGCTCTGCCAGCACCACCTCTGCGTGGGGCTTTCCTGGCTTTTCCGGCCATCCCTGCGGGGTGTACCCCAGCCCTCCGGGGGGGTGTACCCCAGCCCTCTGGGTGCGCTGGGCCCCAGCTCACCATCCCAGCACCCCGCTGCCCGGTGCCGGACCCTTCCCTCCCACACTCGTGTGTGTGGGGAGTCCTGGGGGGCCGTGACCTCTGACAGGGCTGTGTGCCCCTGCTGGCCCCCTCATCTGTGACCCCAGGGTCATTTGCTGAGTTTAGTCCATGCACTGCGGATGCCTGTGGATACCGCCTTGGCTGATGGTGTCATGGGGCTCGTGAAGCAGCAGTCTGCCGGCCCGGGACAAGGCTCTGTGCGTGGATGCAAGGGCCTGCAGAGGGCGGCGGTGAGGGGGACTGTGTCTCTGTCCCTGGGTGGACGAGGGGGTCTGCCCAGCACAATGACCTGAAGTAATGACCGTGGGAAATTTCACTGTCACGGAGCTTGCCTGCTGCTCCTGGGACATCGCTCTGCACTTCCGCTGTCCGGGGGTTGATGACGTAGGCTTTGTACCCTTGTCCTGGGACCCAGATCGCTGTCATGAAGGGAGGGAGGCTGGAGCACCCCTCACCCCGGGCTCCTCTTCTGCCCCATGCCCATGGGACTGTGAAGTGGAGACACATAGGGGGGGGTTGTCGGGGTCACGAGGTACATCCTCATCACAGGCCCTGGAATTTCCTCCCTGTTGAGGCCCACAATGGGGGAAAGCCGCTCTGGCCAGGCGGGTTGCCAGGGAGGGTGGGACTCAGCCCCACCCCATCCTGGTTTGGGTGCGGCTGAAGGTTGAGCCCCTGGCAGGGGTCAAGTGAATCCAGTCCTGTCTGTTATTGAAGCCCCAAAGCATGCTGCTGGGTGACACGGGGGTGCTCCACCCCGCCCAGGCCTCACTCTGCCCTCCCGCAGTAGCTGCTCAGTGATGTCCTCCATGGGCACCAGTGGCCTGGCCAGGAGCCAGTCAGGAAGCAGCTGTGCCTTTGAGTGCTCTCTAGCACGTCACTCACACCTGGGGCCCCCCAGAGGGTCTGGATGAGCCAGAGCCCAGGTGCAGGGTGACCTTAGGAGACTCCTGCTGGGCAGGTCAGAATCAGGAGAAATTCTCAGGCTGCCCTGGACTTGCAGCCCATCCCTGGGATGCCTGCCTGGGGGACTGCCCTGCCCCCCAGGGGTGGGTGTGGCTGAGCCCACTTCTCCCCTCCCCCTCCCCCCCTCCCCTCTGCCTGTGTTTCCTTTGGATTCAGAGTCCCATGGGGTCTGGAAAGGACTTTCTCTTGGTACCATGGCTTCACATTCGGGAAATTCCTAAATAAGCACAGAAGATGGAATAACAGGGAAGGTGACTGGGCAGGTGTGTCCCCTGGAGGGTAATACGGCCCAGGTGAGTGGCCAGGTATGGTCAGGGGGCCACCTGCTGGCAGGGGTCTGGTGTCCGCTGTCCTTTTTGGGCCCTCTTTATGTACAGATATCATCACTGGGTGTGATGACCTCATCACACTGTGTGGTGACATCATTACCCACGCAGTGAGATCATTGCTCTGTGTAGTGACATCATTGCTCAGTTTGGTGATGCCAGTGTTCTGTATGGCGAAGTTCCGCAGGCTGCATGGTGACGTCATCACCCTGTGTGGTGATGTCATCACCCTGTGTGGTGATGTCATCCACATGTGGTGAAGTCATCGCCCCGTGTGGTGACGTCATCACCCTGTGTGGTGACGTCACTGGTGTCTGCGTGTCCCTTTGTGAGCGTGGACGGTGTTGTTGTCGGTGACGCTTCTCAGCCCACTGTGCCACGTTCTCATGCTCACCTAGCCGCGAAGGCCTTCCCTTGGTGCTGCAATCCGCTGGGGAGGGAATCGGAGACCCGTTTCTGCGGTTATGTAGAGAGGAGAGGCTGGCACAGCCCTGCCATCGCTGGGAGCCTGGGCCACGGCCTCCGCCAGGGGCTGACTGGGTGGCCGCCGTGGAGGACACCACCTTTCTCTTTGTCCGCTTGGTGTGTCCAGTGGAGAGGCCTCTGCTGGGGTCTCTGGGCGCTGGGGTATTTCGCAAGGGACACAGAAACAGACTGTGGTGGCCAGAGCTTGGGGCCTGGAACCAGAGCTCAGTGTGGGCGCGAGCCTGGAGTGGGTCTAAATCAAAAATGGCCGGCAGGTGGGGCCCCCTGGCTGCACAGGGGCTAAAGACAGCACCATCGAGCTCTCAGCAGCCACTGCAGCATGAGTGCACCCCCTGCCAGGCAGGGACCCCCAGGGCACAGCAGACCCCTCCTGCCTCCCTGCTGCCCTCTCAGCAGTGGGTTTCAGGGGATCTGCCCATTCCGCTCCCCACTCTGTCTCTGGGAGTCCTCTCACCCATCCTACACCCAGTTCTCTTATGCATAAATCAATGCATCTTAAACAATCAAAAATAAAACAGACACAGCTGGTGGGAAGCTGGAGGCCCAGGATGTGAGCTCTGCAGACAGACTGACAAACGCACCCGACTTGATCCTTCCTGGAGTGGTGGCTTGGCTGGGAGAGTGAGCGCCCCGGGCTGGGTGGCCTCGCGGTGGCCCAGGGGGTGCCCACCCCCCACCCTGCTCTCCAGAGTCTGAGCCATTGCAGGTGTTTTCATGGGAAGTATCCTCTGGAAAGTGTTATTCTGTGATGCTGGGGACATTTGTGGGAGCCTGGCTCTGGGTGTGGAGCAGCCTCTGCTCAGCCCTGAGCCCCTCTTAGAGCCCCAGCCAGGCAGGGGCCCCCCCGCTGGAGGGGGGGGGCTCCTTAGCCCGACCTTGTGGCTGTGGCTTGTCCTCCTGGGGACCCAGGGCCGGGAGGGAGCTGGCAGGGTTCCCTGGAGGGCGTGGCCTCCCTCAGCCTATGACTGAGCCAGGAAGTCCGCCGGGAGCTGCTCTCAGCTCTCCCAGCCGGTCCCACAATAACAAGAGGGAGCAGCATAACAGGGAAACGGAAGAGAAGGGACCGGACTGAGAAGGGACCCAGAAACCCGATCTGCACGCGCTGAGGGAGCTGAGCAGGGGCACAGCACCTGCTCTGTCACTGAGAGGCCCCTGGCACGCCAGCTGGCGGAGAGCTCTGCTGTCAGCATGGGGAGAAGACGCCAGACGCCTGGATGAGGCCACCCCTTAGCTGCACCCCGGGGCAGGCGCGGAGTTCGGGGAGCTGAGCCCCAGGGCCCAGCGGAGGCAGGACCGCGGACAGGCTGGAGCCCCCAGTCCTGGAGGCATGCCCCCCACCCGCTACCTCTTCATCGTCCCCCTCTCCTGTGTGATTCTCTTCATCGCCTTCTATGTGCTCAGTTTCGGGAGGGAGCAGAGCTTCCAGCTGAATAACAAGGAGACCTCGCTCCTCACGCAAGCCTGCGCTGCCTTCAGCGAAGGCAAAACCCCTTTCCTGTGGAGACACAAGCTCAGGATCCAAGAGCAGGCCTCCTGCCGGGACTACCTCGCCCAGGGCCACTACGTGTCCACCCCGCTGTCCGCCGAGGAGGCCGCCTTCCCGCTGGCCTACGCCATGGTGGTGCACAAGGACTTCGGCACCTTCGAGCGGCTCTTCAGGGCCGTGTACGCGCCCCAGAACGTGTACTGCGTGCACGTGGACCGCAAGGCGGACCCCGACTTCCAGCGGGCCGTGGAGCGGCTGCTGCGCTGCTTCCCCAACGCCTTCGCCGCCTCGCGGAGGGAGCCGGTGGTGTACGGGGGTGTGTCGCGGCTGCAGGCCGACCTGCACTGCCTGGCGGACCTGGCGGGCTCGGCCGTGCCCTGGAGGTACGTGCTCAACACCTGCGGACAGGACTTCCCGCTGAGGACCAACCTGGAGATCGTGCGCTACCTGAAGGGCCTCCGGGGGCGCAACATCACCCCGGGGGTGCTGCCCCCCGTGCACGCGGTGCCCAGGACCAGGTACGTGCACCGGGAGCACCTGGCCAAGGAGGCCTCCTACGTGATCCGGACGGCGGCGCTCAAGGCGCCTGCGCCGCACAACCTGACCATCTACTTCGGCTCAGCGTACGTGGCGCTGACCAGGCCCTTCGTGGACTTTGTCCTGCATGACCCGAGGGCCGTGGACCTGCTGCGGTGGTCGCAGGACACCTTCAGCCCCGACGAGCACTTCTGGGTGACGCTGAACCGCATCCCAGGTAGGACGCTCCCGAGGGCCTGTGCCATATGAGCAACGGTCGCGCGTGGGGCAGGTGCTCAGCGGTGCCCGGCCCTGTCCTCACATCTCTACCGCGGTCAGGCCTCCCAGCTGCCTCCTGTGGGTCTGTGCACCCCCTGCCGCTTCCTTAGGGGGGACCTCCAGGGCCCTGGTACAACGGTGTGGGCTTTGCCTTGTCCGAGCCTCCCACCCCAGCCCAGAGCAGTGGGGTGGGTCACTGCGTCCTTGAGGCTCGGGAGTGGTCAGTTGCTGCACGTTTGGCAAGCAGATGAGACCCCCAGGCGCCGCTGTGGATGGACCGCAGGCTTCTGCCTGTGCCATCTCACATCGGCAGCGCCCTGGCCTTTAAAGCACATCGGATAAGTAGTGAGATCCTAAGGGACGCGCCTTTCCTGCCCGTCAGAACTTCTACTTTTCCTGGGGGACCACTGACGGATTTTAAAATGAGATAAAAACCCAGTAGGATTCGGCCAGGGTTCCTATGGCTTTGCAGCGGGAACACAAAATGGACCTGGTGGCCGTGACCTCAAGTCTGTGGGCGTGGCCATGTGGCCCGGTGGGCGTGGTGACTTTGTTTAGTGGGCGTGACCGCATGGGTCAGCCTGCAAAGCAGGGTGGTGCTGTTGCTTGGGTAGTGCTGTTCTGAGGGGGTGTCAGGTTGGGGGTTGGGGCGTGCTCTGGGGTGCAGGCCCAGCACACCTCAGTGCTCTGGACTCTGTTTAGCTGCCCTGTCCCCTCCCCCCTCGCGGCCTCTGGGCTCCCTTTACCTGACATTTCCTGGTATGGCTGGGACTAATCTGGCACTTAGGGGCTGATTTTCATGCTTAAGTATGTATTTCCTTTCCATTTTCGTTATTGCCAGGAGGTTCTTACAAGTGGGGGAGGGGGGCTGGTCACAGATGCCTTTCTGGTGGCGCAGAAGGAGGCTTTTCTAACTGGGGGAAAGCCTGGGAGTCGCCTTTCAGTATGCTCTTGAGTCTGTACAAGGTGTGGGGAAATCCAAGGAAGGATGCCCACCCTTTCCTCTCCCCCTTCCTCTCTGCCACTGGCATGTGACACATGTGTTGCCTCTGGATCTGGGGCTCGAACGGCCAGGGCGTGGGGAGACCAGACCAGGCCAGGGACGCTGTCCCACTGTTCGCAGCTGAAGGCAAGGAGGGCTTCCTGGAGGAAGCTGCCGCCTGGTGGGATGGCCGCACTTATCCCACGGGCTCCCCGCCCGGCAGACAGCCTCTGCACACCGGCAGCTCCTTTTCCTCAGGAAAGTGATGTGGTTTTTGGAGTCGGTGGGTTTTGGAGGTGGGTTTGGCTGGATCCTGGGGTCATGCTGGAGAAGGCAACCCCAGAACTTCGCTTTCAGTGGCCCCCGAGTTCCCTGGTGAGTGTCTCCACAACACAGAGACTCAGTTATGTGTAAAAAGCAGGTTATTAGGAAAAGGGGCAGAGGAGTAAAGGACAAGGGCATGGATACCAGCGGGCTGAGAGGCTGCCCAGGAGGGACGGGTCTGTTGAGAGGCCTGTGAGGTCCAGGCGGGTGTCCAGGGGGTCAGTGAGAAGCCCCAGCAGGTGCCAGGCCCAGGTCACCGTGGTCAGGAGGCCACTGTCCCTGGCATGATCTCTGAGGGAACTCCCTCCTCCCTCCCTAAGGTGCCTGTTTGCTATAACTTTGGGTAACTGCCCTGCCAGATCCCAGGTGGCTTCCTCTCCATCTGCAGCCCCAGCTCCAGCGTCTGACACCTGTGATCTGTGATCTGGTGGGCGCCTGAGGCTAAGCCCCTGCGGCAGATCCCTGCTGTGCTGTTCCCTGCCACCCCCAGCTCCTGGCCGGGTGTGAGCCTGGTTTCTGGAACCTCTTTCCAGTGTTTCTGTTCTCCATCACTGGGGTCTCCCCCTTGCCAGCACCAGGCTGTGTGCAGGAGCTTCACACAAGGCTGCCTTCAGAGCCAGGTGAGGTGGTCCAGGCCAGGCGAGGTGGTCTAGCCAGGGCAGGGTGTCAGCACTACTTTCCACAAGGACACTGAGTTGAAAACGTTTAAAGGGCAGTGGGGAGGGTCTCTGGGTGGGAAGTGGCCAGGAGGCTGGCAGTGCCCACAAGGGCCCAGAGGCCTGGCCTGAGATCTTGAAGCTGCTGAGTGGCTCTTGGGGCAGGGCCGAGACTGCCTGGCGAGGTAGCCGGTTGTGGGCCAAGAGTGAGGTGCCCCAGGGGTGGGGGGAGCCAGGGACAGGGTCAACTAGAGCCCTGCTGGGCCTCAGCCACCAGCAGGAGGGACACTTTTTAAATGGTGGGAAAGCTGAAAGGAAGACCTTCCCTGGAGTGGAACACTGTCATCCCTGGCAGGCGGTAGCACCCCAAGCTGCCCTGGGGCCACAGCCTCTGTCCCTGTCATTAGCCTCCTCTCATGCACGTAATAGTGCATTTTAAAACCACTTGTAATGAACAAAGAACTTAAAGGGCTTTTAAAGCCTGCACCCTGCGGGTCACAACTCCCTGCCGATTGTACTCAGGATGCAGGATGCAGGATGCACTTCTGCAGAGTGGTGATAGCTCTGGGACTAGAGTCTGGGCCACCAAGGAGGCCCTTTGTGTGTGTGTGTGGTTTAGTTGATATTTCTCTGTTTTGAAAAAGAGTTTTTGGAATAAGCTTTCCGGAGATGTCCCTAAAATGAAAAACGCAGGGTCTACCTAGAAACTGTGGTAGTCAGGCTTGTCCAGGGAGGTCTGGCTACCTGTGTGGCCCCAGCAGCCCTCGGTCCGATGTCCCTGGGAAGTGTGGACTGGGAATGGGCATGCATAGACTCCCCAGGGGTGCCCTAGTCTTGGCTGGTGGTGTGACCCTCCCTCGTTTCTGACTGACCACCTGCTCAGGTTTGAGAATGCCTGCTGGGTAAGAAAGCAATAACAGGCGGTGTGCAGGAGCTTCACACAAGGCTGCCTCCAGAACCTGGAGATAGTCCAGGCCAAGGGAGGTGGTCCGGGCCAGATGAGGTAGTCCAGCCAGGCGACGTGGGTCAGGCCAGGCAAGGTGGTCCGGGCACACATGGGTGTCTCTCACAATCACTTAGCAGTAACTAGATAGATTGGGGGAATTTCTGCTAAAATCTAGGTTTTTCATATCTCTCTCTCTCTCTTTTTTTTTAGATTTATTTATTTATTCATACAGAACTGGGGTACAGGCCAGAGATGCGGAGGGTGAGAGGATTCACCAGAGACAGAGTGGGGAGCAGAACAGGCAGATCGACGAAGCACACTGCTGAGGGGAGCAGCGGGCGGGTCAGGAGAGGTCTGCCACACCATGTGGTCACCTCCGGCGCCGGCAAGAATCGAACTCATGCGGAAGCGGCTTCAGCTTCTCAGTGCTGTAACCTGCTGCGCCACCGGGGAGGGCCCATGTTTTTCACATCTCTTAAAATGTGCCAGAACCTGACCACCCCGGAACTTTTCTGGGGGTGCAGGCCCCCTGGCCCCTTCCCAGCACCCCATCTCACCAGCCCTCACTTCTGTATTTTGTTTTTTTCTCTAGTGCTGTCTTAAAACAGTGTGGTGTGGTTTCTTGGTGATGTGCAAGATGGCTTATCTGACTGGGGCAGGCTCAGGTGCCGGTCGTGGTTGGCAGCCTGAGGTCTGGCCTGCTGGTTTCGCTGCCCCACCTGCCTGCTGCCCAGAGGAGGGAGCATCAGGAGGGCTCTGCTGTGTTCCCAGGTCTCATTTGTGGCGAGCTACAGGCGCC